TGTGTGTGTGTGTGTGTGTGTGTGTGTGTGTGTGTGTGTGTGTGTGTGTGTGTGTGTGTGTGTGTGTGTGTGTGTGTGTGTGTGTGTGTGTGACCAAGCCCTGAGAAATGCTTCTACATCCCTGCTCATAGGCATCAAGCGGTACCTCCAAGATCACAGATCCACCCACGTTTTGTTTGGATCCACAATCCAGTTTGACATAAAAAGCCACAATCATTCAAATATGCTTCTGAGTCACTGTGACCTTTACAAACCTAACGGACCTAAAGGATCGTGGCGTCAGAAGTGAGTTGGATCACATCGTGACATCAGGATTTACGCGTGGGACACAATTTCGGCGCTTCGGAGGAATTAGCTGTCCTAGAATTGGAATCGGGCCTCTTAAAAATGTGAAGAGAAACAAATCTGATTCATGCCAACCTGACTGACAAACAGACACATTGGAGCTGCCCTGTAAATATGAGCCTGACATCATCCAAATATGGAAATAGGGTGCGCATACGCATAAATAAAGCACTCCTGGTAAATCTTAGCTCCAGTGAAAATGCAACTCATTGAGCAAAACAACTGCGGAAATTTCTCCAGTAATGACAGTTAATTTCATATTTTGGATATTATGCATCATGAAATGTAAGATCTCATTCCACCGTCTACATGTTTTAGTAAAAAAACAAAAAAAAACAAACAAACAATAATCCATCGAGGCTTTCTTCATACTAGCACGCAGCAACACGTGCGAGGTGTATTACAGCCAAGGTTGCTCTCAGCACTCGTAACACCGACGCCGCGCACTATATAACCTCAATGTGGTTTGTGTCCAATATATCACACCATGTGACCACAAAACCACGTACACTGTCCATAGTCAAGTGGTATTTGGAAGAAGCAGGGCAGCCGCTCGCTGTCTGGCCTTCGTCGGATTCATGAAAGAACGGAGGCGGCTACACTGGGATAGACAGGGATTTCACCAAAATGCAGACCACATGGCCCCAAGCTTTTTCTGCTTCTGTCCCCGTCGATATCACACACACACACACACACACACACACACACACACACACACACACACACACACACACACACCCACACACACACAGACAGACCACCCCCCACACCCACACACACACACACACACACACACACACACACACACACGATATTCCACAATAACTTTGAATTTCATTGGTTCCATTGCGGTCCCCCACTGCGGTAAGTATGTCTGCGACAACAGCAACAGCTCGGCTCTGTCCTTCATTAAGCCACCAAGATGGCCTACATAAGATGTGGTGGCCACACTGATTGGGAAAGTGTGTGTGTGTGTGTGTGTGTGTGTGCGTGTGTGTGTGTGTGTGTGTCATTTCCCAGGTGTGCGCAAGCCAGAGCATTTAAAATAAAAAAAAAGGACACTTTGCGCCGTTGTGGGTGTGAACACAGCCGACTCAATTTGACACCCAGGTGGCTCTTTTCATTACTTTTAACAGTGGCGCGCTCACACCTCACATGGGGCCGGAACAGATGCGGCAATTCGCGCGTGATCTCATGTTTTGATTGTTTGATAAATCAAGCTTGTCATCCAGTATGTTAAAATAATCTTGCAGATGCGTTGACAGACACGGGAAAAAAATATCAATTAAATATTTCTCGGTCGCACTTTACATTCGAGTCCTCAGTCAATTTTACACAGCCGCCAACAAAGCAAAGCTTCTTGCAGCACGGCTTGCTCGCACACCGGTCCACGAGCACATTTGACTACTGTGAAAACCGTTTCCTCCGCCGTGTGTGAAACTTTCTTCACTCCCTTGCTATAGTGGATGTCTTCACTTCATGACCCTCGTTCCACTTGAGAGGTGGCACCCGTGTTTCTGTGCTCAAGCCAAAACCAAGAAGTCCCACACAGCCAAGCACAAGCGAGCCGTATTTGACTCGCTTGAACAGCCATGCGGCATTTGAAGGGTTAACAGTGCAGGTTGGCTGGATATTAATGCCAACTGCTCAGACTCCAGAATAAGACTGGCTTTAAACCAGCCTTCTCCTTGGCCCCTCTCAAACTCCGAGATCTTCTCAGGCATAGTTCTCATATTAAAAGAAAACAAGTTACACAAATGAGACAGATGGTTCTTGTTTGTGATGACAGTTGCACTACTTTCTCCTCCAGCTTTCCCACCTCCCTCCCCCTTCCCCCCACGCACCCTCCATCTTATCCCTCTCAGCTTTCTTTCTCTGGTATCTTTGCTCCTTTGTTGCCACACTCAGAGAAACAATTGGAGCGGTGCGCACGGATGCTTTTCCTTAATAATATAATGGTAATAAAACACAGTGTGCACGAACATGAGTGAAGCTCAGTGACTTCCAAGCAAGGGTGGAAGTCCCGCCATCACATTTCAAATGAGCGCCATCATTTCAAAGCCAAAAACTAAGCCGCGGATTACCATGATCAGTTTTCGTTATTGACATTGGAGGGAGTGATTTGCTGTTTTCAGCAGTGCGTTCGCTGCTTGTGCCATATGCATGGATCTGCGCTCTTATTGACAAGTGTAATGTGGTGGCTCCATGAGTGTAAATGCAAGCGGGAGGAGCAAAATGCAAGACTCAAAGGCAAAATAGAGCTGAAAAGAAATGATTCATATTGGGCAGGGCCGTGGTGGCCATTGGGAATTTTGGTACATTGCCTTGATTTTCCTGAACGGCTGGTCTATTTCCAGCACGGCACGGGCGCATCACGGTCGCCGTTCACCGCCCTAATATTACGGTATGTTTTTCTAATGCTATGTCATGGTTGTGTTTATTTTGTTCTTTGAGTTGGCGGGATCGGAGGGCGTTTCCTCCAGAGCCGCACCTGTTTGTCATTGTCATCAGCTTCATCATCGCCTGCTTACTAAAGGACCGCCACGCCGACCACTTTCTGTCGGATCGTTACTGACAATGTCAGTCTGTCGTGTTGATTTGTGCCTGTTGCTGTCATGTTGTTTTATTTGTCATAGTGGTGTCTTTTATTTGCTTGTGTTTTGTTGTTACTGACAGTTTGGATCTTTTCAGGACCTTGTTCGTCTTTTAGATGTAGTTTTTCCAGAGTGCCGCTGCAAGGATTTTTGTCCAGTGCCCCCTACTTTTGAGTCCTCTACCGTGCACAAAACATGACATGTTGTCACAAGCGTTTACAACTCACATTGCACATTACACTGCTATTGTGATGACAAATAATATCAAGATATTCATGGTAAATGGTCAATGGACATTCTACAATAACCAAACCCTGCAATACAGATGTTGATTTTTGAATTGAGTTTGACCAACAAGCATGACAAGCCTTCCCTTCTGGTTGCTTCCTCAGCCCATTTTCTGAGTGAAACCGACAAACTATGAGAAGAGTAAGCAAAGCAATGAACAGCAATCAGACTGAATACTTGGGGGCAATTTCGTTTAATACGAAAAACATCTTTGTTTGGAGGCTGGATTTGCCACAGGAATTCACACACTTATGCACACAAAAAGGGACTTGAGAGAATAAGCCACAAGCAAACTTGACTCGCAAAAGAGGGCCAGAAAGGCATATTTTCACCAACTCTAGTCTAATTTGACAGTTGCAGACCTTTAAACTATGATATGGACTGAAATGCGTCAAAAATGTCACGGTGCCCCGTTCACCAATTTCTTTCAAATCGCCAGGCGAGTGTTCATTTTTCACCAAGGAAAAACATGCCCGCCAGGTTAGAAGACACCAAATTGTCCAGAAGTGTGAAGTGAGTGACGGGCGCTGTGATGATCTGGCGACAAGTCCAGAGCGTCACCTGCCTCTGGCCCAAAGTCAGCTGGCGTCGGCACAAGCTCACTCCTGACCCTTGAGAGCATACGCATGATAGAAAATGGATGGTTGCATGCTTTTATTACATCATCAATATGTGTAAACCTCATTGTACTTTTGGTATCTTTGAAATTATCTGTAAAAATAATGCAGAATAAACAGTAATTCCGTCCCGTGACAGCTGCAAAAGGCACAAATGAACATGGCCTCGCCTCCAATGCAATTCATATTTGCATTTTTTGAAAACAGACCCTTCCGTTCTCGTGTATAAGGCGGACTTTGCTAAGTTTGGAATAATGGCAGACTTGAACTGGACGCGAGTCAAAAGTCAAACAAAGCCCGCACCGAGTCCCCTGTTGAACTTTCTGACATAACAAATGTGAATTTCAAACAGGTCTGTATATCGCACTCGTCCAAGTAAACTGGCTGGGCCTTTTGAGTTCAATACGCAAATAAATCTAAAGCCCCCATCTCGAGGCTTTTAGGGCAACGTTTATCCCAGCCTGGACAGAAGAGATTAGGATTGATCCGAGCGAGAAAAAGGAATGTCTCAAGAGTGACAGTGACAAGGTGTTTCAGAATGTTGATGGGGGCGTTACCTGCCGTAACTTCTTCTCTGCATGCTGAGATGGAGGATGCCAGTCACCTTACCTCCA